GAGGAAAAAATTGATGTGGACTATGGTTTATCGATCATTTTCATGGAGACATGAGGAAGTGGGAGAGTTCACCCAGTTTGCACTTTTTCAGCAAGACTTCTGAAAGCTAGCAGGATAATAATCATAAACAGTAACAGAGCACTCACCACATTCTAAACTGTTTTTGTGAATTAATTTGTTTAATCATCACAACAACTTTATGAAGCCCCAAGAGGTTGGGTCATGTTCAACATAACAACACATCTAAGTTCAGAGCTGGATTTTAAACCAAGCAGGCTGGCACCAGAGGCTACATGGTTAGTGAGCACCCACACTCTTCAGAAGAAGACATCCTCAGAGAAGCAGGCCTGGGTCCTGCCATCTCTTGACCTCTTCCTCCTCAATTCCTTGAGTCTTTAGCTGAAAGGAACTTTCTGAGGAGAAGCATCCATTAGCTAAAACCACCAGTATACACCATGTCAGAAGTCAACTCAGTTCTCCTCATGACTCACGGAGCAGCACTCACTTGTACTCCTAATCTCCCTGTTCTAGTGTAGGATTTTTTTCAACCCATAACTCCCCTCTCCCTGGGTCAGTAAGGTAATAGAACATTCAAAAACAGTCTCCAAATGACTCCTCTGCTAAAACTGTTCTATCACCCCTGGGGCTCTCTTTTGAGGTGCTAAAACCCCAATCAGGGAGTCATCACCAACAACAATGCATCAGACTTTCTCCAAGAATTGGCAAAGCAAGCAGCAGCTCACAAGAGTCCATTATCCCCCATGGTTCATAATTGGGCATTGTGATTAATCCATTTATCTGCCATTCAGAAGAATACCACATAGTAAGAGTCAGTAATTACCAAGCATTGAATAGGTACATGAATAACCAAAATGTACCCATGCTTTGAGTTGCTGCAACACCTTGATTCCAAGAATATTTACTCACTTTGAATTTTAAAGATACACAGCAATGTAAGTATAGCAGAGGGGTGGAAGATAGGAAGCCCAATTTTCAGAGCTATGAGTGGCTAAAACCCAAAAGGCTCGTGAGCTGTTCATAATTCTGTGAATCAACTCAGAAGATATTCACTAAGATGTATTATGTTAATGAATATCTGTGTGTCAGGCACAGTGTTAAGAACAGGGCATTTTTGTAAAAGTTCATTATCTAACTGGAGAAATAGACATATAAGAAGCCAGATATCTTTAACAGGAAAAGTGAGAGGCAGATGTGAAGAACAAGAAAGAGAAGGAACACTCACTCTCCATGGGGGTGGAGAATAAATGGCAAATGTGTAAAGGCTGCCCAGATGGAGTGACCTTTGATTTGGGACCTGCAGGTTGAGGAAGATTTTTTTCTGGAAGGAAGTCAGTGAGAGAGAGCAGGCCAGGCAGAAGGCCCGGTATGCACAAAGGCATTCAGGCAGGATGTCAGCGGCCACAGAGAGAACTACATGAGGTGAGTATTGAGGGGCCTTTATGCTAAGAAAACTGGGCTCTATCTCGTATCTGATACGCAATAAGGCAACATGGTAAATTTTTAAAGAGATGTCTGATCATGAGCAGATTTGTGCTTCTGAAAGCCCATTGAGCAGTGTGACAATGAGGCTGGATTAGGGAAAAGGACCAACAACTGAGAGTCTACTTACTGCCTTAGTGAGGACAGAGGTGAGAATGACCTGCCTCAGGCATTGAGAGTGGACTGAAAAGGAGGGTTAGACTGATAGTTTTGCAGACATTTCAGAAGGCCATATCAGAAGGCTTCTGGTGATGTGTGGGGAGCAGGGGAGAAGAAGAAGAAGCTGATAAGAGTACGTTTGGCTGGGTGAAGACTCCCTTCGCAGAGGAGGAAAAGCATACTTGAGGGGCCGGAGAAAGCAGAATGGAACTAACACTGCTGTGTGTTTACCACGTGCCAGGGTACCTGAATTTCCTTACACCTGTAAGGAAAATCAGCTCAGATTAAATGAACTAAGGCCAAAGTGGTCAAAGAGTGTACTCAGGGCCACCCAGTGCCAACCGTGCCCCAGCTCCAGACTCTACCTGGTGAGAAAGGTTTGGCTCACAATATAAGTAGTCTTATTCTTCACTTTCTCCTTCTTGCCCAACAATTAGAATATCTTTCCCTATCTGTATTTCCCATCTTCCTTGCCTACTTCCACATTCATCTCTCGCTTCCAAAGTAACCTCTTCCTGGCTGGCTCTTCATCTACTCTCATTCATACATGGCCTCTTTTTGGAAGTACGAGTGTAGGGCAAAGGACAAAGGATCAGAAGTGGGATCAAGCTGTGTTCCACAGCTGACTTAGCTAGCCAGGTGACTTTCAGATATTGATGGACCTCTCAACCTCAGTATCCTCAACTATAGAGTGGGGACAAAAAAAAAAATGAATACTGACCTTTGCTTATCTCACAGGATTATTGTGAGAATGGAAGATTAAAGTGCTTGCAAACAATACCAACAAAAAGCAGGAAAAGATGCTACAGGATTATCTGGATGATCCAGCACCACTGTCCACCAGACTGTGAGTCCCTGGAAGGCAAGAGCCCTGGCAGTCTTCATCTTTAGCTTTAGAGCACCTAATTATTCCTAATATAGAGTCAGTGTTTGATAAAGACATGTTCATTTGAGAATGAAGACCACGGCCAGCAGTGTGGCGCACACACACACAACCACAGAGGCATGTCTGTTTGCCTCCTTCTCTCCCACCATACATGCAGGCAAAACCACATTCCCCAGTTTTTAAAGTACTGCTCTAGTCCTGGCTTATTCCAAAACAGCCAGTTCCTGGAGAAAAACCAAGTGATTGTCAAGCTGCCCGGATGGCTTCATTGGGCACATTTGAACATTGGGTAGGTCTGAATTCCTCCCCTTCTCAGGAAAGTTGCTAAGAACTGGCCCCCCAGACTCACTCCCCTGTAAGGAGTTACCATGGGTCTGCCCCATTCACCGCTGCTGTATAGCGATGTGGGTTCCCCCCCCCCGCCCCCTCTTGCAGGAGCTCAGAGCCTCTACTGCTATTTTCATTGATGCCTTGAGCAGGGCTGGCATGTGCAACTGCTCAGAAGGGGGAGCGTGGAGCCGCGGGGGAAGCAAGTAAAAATAGCCTGGCGCGTGTGGCTCTGCTTGCTCTGGACGCTTTTAATCCTGGACGAGGTGGGGAGCTCAGCAACCAGGGTTGCACACTGAGGCACCCAGCAGGGGTCTGCGCTCAGAACTCCCGAAACAGCCAGGGTGCAGGGGCTAGAAACTCTAGAAAACTTTTTTTCCCAGGAACTGAGAGGGACAGGAGTGGGGAGCAGTGGGTGGGGGTGGGCTGTTTCTTACTCCCTAACCCAACAACCTAGCTTCAGGGACTGCTGTGTGCCTAGTCCAACACTTCACAGAAGTGCAGCCTTGACTGAGAGCTATTTTTAGAAACCTCTTTCTCGGGTGGGCGATCAGAGGGAGGAAGGCAGAGCCTATTGGTAAGGCTAGCTCTCCTCTGTGAAGCTGAGAGCCTTGCACTGCACATCATTCAGGATGTCTGCTCGCAGGTGGGGATGGGGGTGGGGAAGAACAAGTGTCCAGGGAGACCAGAAGGCTTGCTGGCTGTGCCCTAACTCAAGGAGAAGGCATTAGCTACTGAATATCCTACTGTTTTCGAGCCCTAGAGGGTGTTTGTTTCAAAATCGACAGTTGCCAGATGCATGCTGCTTCTAGTCTCTCCGGGAATGGGGCTTTAAAAAGCTTTGCTGCCTACGCTGTGGGGGTAGGGGTTAACTGCAGTTCATACTTCACAGGAAGAACGGGGAAGGGTCTCTGCACCCTTTTGCATTCCAGAAAGACAGAGACATTCCCCCACCACACCTCCGTCCTTGCCCCACGCTGCATATGGGTGACCATATGTGAAATGTATGGCAGCCCCACCAGACACCCAGCTATTAATAGAGCTTGAGAGTTTGCTCCCTGCCTTTCTCCTGCCACCGGGTAAGGGATGATCTTCACACATTTACCCCACTCCGCACACACATCCCCCGCCCCCGGCTCACCATCTCTCCAGGAAGGTAAGGGGACCGCCCACGCTGACCCCCTTCGTAACCGCAGGTGCCCAGAACCTAAGAATCCGTCCAGTTGTAGTGACAGAGGGTCTGTGTGAGGCCAGAGAACACAGCCATAAGTATTGGGACGCAAAACCCAGCAGGGCTCTTTGCAGCTCAGGGCCAACTCAGAGTAGAGAAAGGGCAGCTATTGGGCTGCCAAAGACGCGGGGGCGGGGGCGGGGGGAAGAGTGCAATGTGAGGAGCTAGAGCGACATTCAAAAGCTGCTGCGGGACGAGTGGCTGCAGATTCATTTGTCGCTGCAGCCCTCGGCGCGCAACCACCACAGCCTGCGCGGGCTCGGCTGCCGCATGAGCGGGCGCTGTCCCTGGTTCTGAGGGCGGCCGCAGCCGGCACCCACTCCCCCGGCTTAGCGCCCCCGAGACGGCTCTGACATTCGGCGAAGGCAGGCCTCTCGCTCCCGAATCTGGGCCAGAGAGTCTGTTGATGGTGCCCGAGTACCACCACCACCACCAGCTCGGCGCTGCCCGGCACGGCCGGGAGCTGTCCGCGGTGCTGCTTGAAGGGTGAATCTGGGGCAGGGAAGGAGACGGTCAGGGCACTGCAGGGGGCAGACCTGGCCCCGCGAGCGCCCATCCCCGCTCTGCGCGAGGTCGGCGCTCTGAAGCCCTAACGGAGCAGAGCAGGGGGCGGGGAGCGTGGCTGCCCGGGATCGAGGACTTGGGGGAAAGAGAAGCAAGCAGCAGCGGGCGGTAGGAGAGGGAGATGGGGTGAGAGGGACTCTTTTGCATTTTCCAAGGGGGGTACCTGAGAAGTGCACCGTCGCCCCCACCCCAGCACACACACGCACACGGCCGGCAGAAGCAAGCGAGATGGAGCTGGGGAAAGTTTGGCTCTAGGTGTTGAGCGGCGGTGGCGGCGCGGCGGTCGGCGGGCAGCCGGGGTCGCCGAGCGCCCGGAGCCCCGCGCCTCCTTACCTCGGTGTTCTCGGCAGCGTTCTCCGCCATTTTCCTCCTTAGGAGCAGGCAGCGGGAGGAGTGTTTCATGCCCATAAGAGCCAGCAAGGGTTTGGTGGTGCAAAGATAGTAGAGAAAGAGACCTGGTGTAGCTTTAAAAGAGAGAAAGAGAGAATGGGAGGAAGGAAAAAAATACCCTCAACCCAGCCCCTCTGCCGGAGCGTCAGCCGATACAATCAACCACGGTTGAGTCTTTCTTGCAGTCTCCACTTTGTTTTATTTTCTTCCCTTTTCTTCTGCTTCGGATTCCTTCACACAGTTTCAAGTTCTTCTCGCGCACCCGACCCCCTCCCCGCCCCTCTCCACCCTCGCTGCGGACTCAGCAGGAGGGAGGCAGCCCGGAAGGCTCCGCGGTGGCGGCGTCTCTCCCCGGCTGCTCGCAAAGTCCAGCCGGCCCGAGGCTGCCGCCAACTCCTCTCAACTTCTGCGGATCTGCGGGGCGAAGCAACACGCTTCCTGCGCGTCTCTCCTAGGGGCTGAGCCGGGTGAGTGGGGGCGGGGTAAAAGGTTCGGTGGAGCGGGCAGCAGCTGGGCGCAGACCTGGGGCTCGTGGTGACCGGGCACTCGCCCCCTCCGCGGGGCTGCCGGGGTCTCTCCGTCGCCCCCACTCCCCCGCGCCGCGGACAACTTGCGCGGGGGCAAGGGCTGCGCGGACGCTGCAGGGCCACTCTGGAGGCTTGGAAAAAGCAGGCGCTGGACCTGGACTCCGGCAGGTTCTTAGAGCCGGGTGTGCGTCCTCCTACCGAGGACAAGCTCTGGGCAAGATTGGGCCACAGTTACCTCGCCCCCACCCACCCTGCCCCCACCTTTCCCGCTCCTCTGTCGATTGTTGGATCCTGCCTTAGCGAGGGGTTTGGGGAGCGAAGGGCTAGGTGTCTGGGTGAGGGAGGGTCCTTAACTCCTTCAACTCTAGGACTAGGTATGGTATCATGATCGCTCCTTTTCACCTATTCTCCCAACCCAGGACACTTTGAGCTCCAAGCCTCTCTGAGACTGGGAGGGTGGGGCGAAGGTTCAGCCAGAGGTGGCTTGGGAACGAAGGTGGGAGAAAGTCAAATGGAAGAGCCTGCGGTCCTGCTTTCCCTACTCTAGTTTTCCCTGGTAGTCGCTCTGTCCCCCAACCCAAATCCTCTTCTTTCTCCTCGTCCCTCCCCCCTCGTCACCAGATTTTGAAGTCCCTTTTATGGAGAGAAGGAGGATGTCACGTACCCATTAGGATTCTCTCGATCCTTTTTTAAGGAGTTTGGGCGGCAGCAGGGGGTGTGAATTTTTATACAATGCATTCCTGTCTTCACTTGGAGAGTTTTTTTCTACCCCTGTCTTACCGGCCATCTGTCAGGCTGTTAGGAGATGGAACAAGGCAGAGGGAGAAAACTGCCTGCCTCTCCCATTACAACAGGCCACTGGAGCCGGCTCCTTCAAAGACAGATGCACTTTCAAGCTTTGGGGCACAGGCCAAGAAAAGGGACGTAAATGATGCCCCCTGAGCATCCTGGCTCTCTTCACCTCATCCCTGGATGTACATGGGAAGATCAGTCCTGCATGCATGTCCTATTGGTTTTTTAATATCACCTTTGACAGTCAGGAAGTGTGAGCCTGATTGTCCTCAACTAACCCCAGAGTCCACTGAAGAGATGGGCCAGAATCTAAGGATGCCTTCATTGCCTGGTCCTAGCGAAAAGAGAGGGCACATTGCATTAAGTGGAGGAGGGAGACAGGAGAAGCAGGGAGAGAGTAAGAAGAGTGAAAAGAGAACAGGCAAGAGGCTGGATAATGGGAGTGTGTGTCTGTGTTGAGGAAGGAGCCCATTTAAATGTGAAAAAAAAAGAACTTAACCTCCTTACCTCTTTTTCTTTCTCAGACCACAGACCTGGATTAGTGTTGGGGGTGAGTGAGCAGAGTCTTTTGGCAACACCTGGTCATTCTCCTTCCCTTTAACACCCTGCTATCATGCAGAAAGTGGTAGGAAGATAAATAAGGTGAATCAGAAGAATGATTTTCACCCTCTTGAGCCCCATTTTCTCTAAGTATCTTTCTCAGAGACAAAAGATCCGAAGAGATCTGATTCCCTAACAAAAGAGTCCCACTACTGGTCCAAATAAAACCAGAAAAGAAAGTATCCTCACAACCTTTAGTCCAATCCTCCGATTTTACAAATAAGGATCCTGAGATCAGAGAAAGGAGGACATTTGTCCATGACCCTTCAGCCAACTCTGGGAACATCTGAGAGCAGCTCCCCAGCCTCCTGACTTTCAGTCCAACACTGTCCTCTGACCCCACCCCACTCAGCTTCTGCCTGTGTTGTGCATCCATTCTGTGACCAACTAGGGAGGAGGGAAGCCAAGACAAGCTCCCACCGAAATAGGTTGCTGCCTGTGTATGATTATGTTGCTATGAGAACCCCAGTGGGTGTGTTTCCTCTATTCTCTGTTGAAATCTTTTTGCTTGGCTTGGCTTCTCCCAAAGCACAGACACTGTTCCCCTTGGAATGAGGAGTGGAGAGGCTGGGAAAGAGAGCTGTATTCTCATGGCAAGAGTTTTCTATTCCAACCCATTCAACCCAGAGCCAGCATGAGGCTTTGAGTGAGAAGTCTAGCCCACATGCTGGTTCTGTCATGGCTGGGGGACAAGTGAGCTGTCTTGAAAGTGGACACTCCAGTCCTCTGTTGAGTCATTTTGGAGCAGAGAGGAGTTGTCCTTGCTATGCTTCCATTTAATTACAAATTTAAGAAGCAAAATAATTGTTACTTTCAGACATTAACTGTTAGGAGTGATTTGTTTTTACACAGCAAAAGATTACCTGAAAACCCATATCCTAGAGTTTTGAAAATTTTGTGATGCATAAAGTTCCTAGCATATAGTAGGTGTTTTGTAGCATTTTCTCACTATCCCCATTATTCACAGGAATTCAGTCTTCTTCACCCCTCTCGCATAAGTATATTAGGTTAATTAACCTATTCTATGAAGAATTTACTAGGCGTCACTTACATGCCTAGCTCATCAGTAGGCACTGGGATTAGCAAGAGGCAACAAAAGATATGGAGCTCTTAATTTAGTCATCCTAAATGCTTTGAACTTTTCAAAGTACAGAACTTTTGTAGCAGAACTTTGGAAGGAATTTTGATGGGAGATAAGGATAAATATGAGATGACAGGGTGTAAAGAGAATTCACCAGCATGTGAGTTACATGGGCAGTCTGGGACAATAGTCCTACTCCAAGTAAAGAGGTCCCAAAACATATTTTGCTATATCACTTATCTTATACTAGATCAACACAACAAAATATATTGAATAGCACCTGTGAAGTGCTATAACAACGTTTGGCTTGTGGAATAGCACCAATATTGTGTTAACATTTGCAAGGCCCTATCCTAGATTCTGAGGTAAACTTGTAGAGCACTTTCTACATGCCAGAGACTCTTCTAGTCTTGGTGTGTTCTCATACAGTTCTTTCAACAATCTTTGCAATAGGTGCTGTTATTATTTCTGCATAACAGATGAGGACACAAAAACACAGAGAATTGCCCAAGTGGTAGAGTCAGGATTTGAATCTAAGATGACTAATTCCATAGTATGACCTTCAAGAGGTTAACCAATTTCCAAGAACAAGACAATGGGCCTTTAAAAATACCAATACTTTGGTTTGACCCGCAAGGAGTATGACTTAATGGGCACTCATGGTTGATCATAATTGGATAAGGATATTTGGAGGAGATCAAAGAATCAGCAGAGAAAGAAAACCCCTAGGTTATAGAAATGGCCCCCCAAAACTACAAGCACACTCATATTATAGAAAAATTCATCTCAAACACAAAAGTTTTTCACAGCCACAAGATACTTGAAAGCATGAAGTTGTGCTGATGGTTGAACCAGCATACAAAGGCTGGAATGAGACTCTTGGGGAGGGTTATAATTGGAAAAATTATCCAGCTTTATGAGATGCCACAGACAAACTGAGTTTCTTGTCACTTGGAGGGTTCATTTAGACTAATTCTTCAGCATAGCCATGGCTGCAAACCCTAGAAGGTTGAGCAAAACCCCTAAGTTTCCCCTGTCCCATGCTGTGACTGCATAATTGTCTCCTTTCATCTTGGAGCCCTCCAGAAGATGAAGACTATGTGTTATAGGCACCAACCAACACTCTCTTTGCTGCCTTTCAAAATCCAATGCCTACAGAATCAGGATGCAGTTTCTGTAACCTGTAGACCTTTCTGGGAAAGCTAGGTTCTGGTTTGCTTGAATGTGGTTGCTGTAGTAAAAGGTAGTGCATAAACCATGTCATGTGGCTTCCTCTCCTCCTCCTAGGGGAACCTCACACATGGCCAGAGCTCACATATGGCTAAAACATGCTGCAGTGAGTCCATGGCTCCTCAAGAATCAGGCCATGGCCATTATCCACCACCACCTCTCAGCAGCTAACCCAGTGGTATTCTTAGTGTCTTCTGGGCCAGATGGGAACCAAGCCAAGGCTGCAGCTGCCAGCTACCTGGCTGAAACTCCAGGCAGCCATAAACCTGGGCAGTTCTGCACAAAACACTTCCATAGTCTTAATTCTTTCTAACCCAAGGCCCAGTTATTTCTTAAAAGTATGTTCCAAAGAACAAATTGCAAGAGTGCCACCAGTGCCTACAAAGTAATTTGGATCTCTCTCTCTCTCTCTCTCTCTCTCTCTCTCTCTCTCTCTCTCGGCCACTGAAACCAGAACATTATTTCTTCCTTGCTCTTGCTCTGATAATGTTGATTGATTCAATCTACTCTGCTTTTATTGTAATGGTTGGTTTGACTATTTATTCTAACAATCCTTGGGTGGCATTTCCTTAGTCATTCTGTATTAATAGCTTAATTCTTAGTGTTGTTTGCCCCTAAAAAAGCTGAATATTAGACTACTGTTACCTGCCTTTCTCTCATAGTGAGAAAAACCCAAAAGACACCTAAACATATTTTCCATGACCTATGAACCTCTTTGGAGAAAGGGGAAGAGTGATGCAGCAGCAGAGCCCTAAAGACACTAACATACTTTTTAAATGCTGTCACAACAGAAATTAGCTTTTTTCTCTTTGTTGTATCCTTCACTTTTTTTCCTCCTTTTAAAATCCTTCATTAAAGGATCACTTTTTCTGGAAAATCACACCTGAATCCCTCAAAGCCAGCTAAAAATCAATTTTGTTTATCTGGTACAACAATTCAATATACATTCTCTCCACTTAGCCCTTACATAGCAACCACTATGAATCAAGCAATGGCTGGGTGTTCAGGACTAAAAGTGAAAAGACATATCCCTACCCTTAACAGATCTTCCAGGAAGAGTTGATTTTGGATTCAGGTACTATTAGGGGTCCTATGGATTGGTTAAATGTAGCTGAAATCAATGGCTTATTGTCAGGTAGGCTTTGCAAAAAGTACCTATTCATATGGACAGGAAAACCCTGGAGGCTATGGGGCCTGGACAAGAGGCAAAGTAGCCACCAATCCAGTAAGTCTTAGGACACCTTCTTTATCAAGATATTGAAGTCCTTTTGTGTTTCCAAAGCTTTCGCAGATAAGTAGTTTTGCAGTCTTGTACCACCCCCTCCCCAAACACATTATGTAATGATGTCACATGGGGTGTAACACATCATGATCTGTCCTAGTTCAGGGCTGATTCCTGGTGACTCAGGCATAGCCCCCGCCCCAAATGCATAATGAGCA